CGCTTTCGAATAGTTGTTCCCCTGAAGAAGAATAGTCAACTATTCGAAAGCGCTCGAGTTTTGGGTCTTATTTTAAAAACATATTGCATTAAATTGTTCTAAGTTAATTTATTACAACTTATGTAACAATATGAATCAGATTGGACAGAATTTCTAGGAAAGTGGTGAATTTGTATTTGGCAACTGAACAAGATAGTATATGCTGTACATAACTCTTTTAATACTGGAGAAAACAATAACTTCACACTGTATCCAAAATATTATATGGACTTGAAAAGTTGAAGTTTTCTGTTAAAACCTAACAACTGTGTAGCATAAAATAATTAAATACAATTGTTTCATTAAATTAATTTAGAAAATTATTACAGATACATACAAATTATACAATGCATATAGAGTGAAAAAATAAATGAAAATGTGCTTACTTACTGATCACTAAAGCCAGACCAAACAGCTTTGTTTCAGTAAAACCCAAGTAGTTACACACTTGTAAAAACAACTCCTGTCCTTTACATGTGACCTGTGTGTTATAACTAATCATTAAATGAATGTAAAACATGATTCACATTTTTTAAAGTATTATGAAGTCATTTTCAGATCTCAAGCTTACACAAATTTCAAGAAGTGTAGTTTGTGAGCAAAACTTTAGATTTAATACCAATCTACTCACAGAATGCTGTATTTTACAAGCAATTACAAATTCTTAAAATATATAAAAGTTCAAAAACAGCTATAAAAAAAAAGTTATTTTCTTTGAAACCATTTACAAAAATATATTTTTTGCACATCTTAAACTCTTAAGTAATTATCTTTACATACAATATTGAACATGGTGTATGTTTATACAATAATCTCTTTTTACTTTTTATAGCAAGTGAGAGTTTAAGGCTATCTAGATTTATTACCAAGTTTGTTTGTTTTTCTATATCATCTTTCAGTGATATAGATTAAAATAAGTTTCACATTTAATTTTATATCATCCAAAAGTAAACAAAACCCAAGTACTGTAAAGCTTGAATGTCTTGAACTCTTTCAATATCACAGAGCACAAAAGTGTGCTAAATCTACAGTAAACCAAGATATCTCCCATACCTGAGACTCTTTAGCTCATTTCCAATAAAATGCTTGTATCACTGATATTGCTGGGCTAATAAGAACTGATGTAGTTCAAACGCTACCCAGTTTATCATGTTATAGGATTTGTTATCCAGTGTATACAAATACATTTTATGTCTCAGTAATTAACATCTAAGAAACACTTACTTTTTTAAAACATTTTTATTCAGATTTAGGATTTAAAAAAGCAATATGAGAATTGAATATTATATATATGCATTATGTACATTTGTTTTGCCCTTAAATATATTACACCAAGCCTTAATTTTACTATTACAAAATCAGTAAAAATTGAGAAAAACAAAAACATTATTCTGAATAAAGGTGGTGGTCCAGGTGTGTATGAAATGAAATACTGTAAATCTGTTTTGTAATCTTACCAAGGATGGCTGTGTTCGAAGTCGAGATGTGCTGAGAGTGTAATGCAAGGTTATGCAAATTGAGGTGATGTAGATATACAAGTCAGTATCTGACTTTAACTATTACTCCTGATGATAGTGGTATGGAATGAAACTGAAACATGTAGAATCTTTTTAGGGTTGTGCCCTGTTTATAATAAAGTTCACTTATTGTGCAACCATTTAATGTATGTTAATTTTTAATATTTTTAACATTTTTACCTGTGCACAATAGCTGTTTAATTTATTTAGATACTTTACACAAACATATCTAAAATTAAGATTACTATGTGTGTAGCATATGAAAAAAAATACTTCCAAGCAGCAGATGTTGGCATCATAAATAAATACTATGAACTTTGTTCAATTTGTTCTTGAGTAAGAATCAACAGTATATGTATATAAGTAAACGCTTAAATGTAGCCAGTATTGTTATGTAAAGCTAAATATTCTAGAAAGCCTCCGACACACCTATAAATATAACCAACGTGACATGCCAAAAAAGACGAGTATCTATTATTAGTCAGTGTGCTATAAACTTTGGAAGCTGTGATTGTTATAACACTTATCAATTGGAAAACCTATGATATTTGACCAGGAGCATTTACAAAGTTCAAACATTACAAATCATTTAACCTCAGTGGATTCTCACCGGACATTAGTATTTTTACAAAAACATTATATATAAATGGCTGGTGAATAGCGAAGGACAAAGCTAGCTAGCTTCCTGTTAAATGAATTATACCTACGTCAACTCTTAATCCACTCGCTCATCGTGAACACTCGATAAGATATCAAAGAAGTTTCAGACTAAAAGGAAGACTTTATATTGCTTGTAAGTTTGTGAAACTTTTGTTTATAAATCATTGTTTATAAAAACTAGTTGTAATAACTGTTATTGTAAATTGTATTGTTATGTGTATATTAAAATGTATTTATCGTTAAAAAAGAAAACTGTGTGTATTAATCTT